ACCTTCTACGTATTGACTCCCTTTCAGTTTCTGCCAGTGTCTTAAGATAATTTTTCTTTCACATTTTACCCAGAATTTATAGTTGCTATGTATAGGAGGCTTGGAAGGTTTGGTCTGATACAAGCTCTGTCATCATTATCAGTAGCGAAACCTCTTTTCTTATCAATCTGTAAGAGTTCTTTGTATATTTTTGCTACTAATGTTTTTGTCTTGCATTGAAAATATTTTTTTTCCAAAATAAGCTTTTGTCGGTTGACTTTGTGGTATCAATTTCCATACAGTACTTTTCATTTGTAGGTCATCAGTTATGTCTCCTTTTATAACTTAACCAACTTCACTAGAGGAGTCTCCTCGATCCTTTGATTATGTGTGTTCTCTCGCTACCCTCGCCCTCAGTTTGAAGGCTTTGTGTTGTTTAATTTTCTTACTGCTTTAATTCACGTAGGGGTTTTTTTTTCGGTATAAGAAATTGAACTCAGGACCTCACACTTGCCAAGCAGGTCGCTGTGCCACTAAGCTAAATCCCAGCCCAGGTTTTTTGGTTTTGTATGTTGCATAAGATACAGATCTCTCCCTACAACCTTAGCCTTTTTTATTTTTATTTTTTAATTTTGAGATAGGGTCTTGCTAAGTTGCCCAGGCTGACCTTGAGTTTGAGACCATCCTGCCTCAGCCTTCCAAGTAGCTCAATTTTATTTCAAGTGGATAGCTAGTTTTGGTGCACATTTATTTAACATTCCATCTGTTTTCCACTGAATTGAATTCAACTCTGTCATACGTTATTTTCTTGTAGATCTTGGGATTTAATTCTGGCTTCTTTATTGGGTCCAATATATAATTTCTGAATCGCTGTACCAATTATATTGACTTGAGTAGTGTGGCTTCATATGTGTATGTATGTATTTGCACTTATACGTAAAGCCACATTCTGGTTTCTGGCAAGCAACTGCATACTCTCATTTCCACCCATTTATCATTGAACATACGCAGCAAGTCATATGGCCACATTGAGTCAAAGGGTGGGAAAATGTATTCCACCCACATTGAGGCCACAGCAAGGGCATGGATACAGGGAGAGGTGAAGAGTGGGCCCAGCAGTGCAGTCTCCACAGAAGGTAGTACATTCACACGGTTCAAAAATAATATACAAAGGGGTAGAGTTTTTTAGGCCAATTCTCACACGAAAGAGCATTTTGTCCACAGTGTTGTACATCTAGCCCTTTCACATAACAATAGATTTTGGAGAGCATTCTGTTTAAGGAGACAACATTCCTTGTTCTTTTTTTCTTCCCTAAATACATGCATAATGGTCTATCAGATGGTTGGTGTTGGGTTGGATGATACCATAATTATTTACTTATCCAGTCTCCTGTGCATGGGTATCTTTTGCATTTCCATTCCTTTGCAATAAGCGTTGCTGTAATGAATAACTGTGCAGAGATGTGTATCTGTGGGATACATTTCCCAAAGTGAAACTGTCTGGTGTAAGGGTATATATGTAGGTGATCTCGGTTGATGTCATTCTCTATATGGATAGTCACACAAATCTGCAGTCCCAGCGACTATGGTGTGAGTTCCTGTTTTCCAAATAGCTTCACTAGCAGAGTGGTTTTCAAATGTAGGATTTCTGCCAATCGAATAGGTGAGAAATGGGTCCATTTCTGAACTGAGTGACCTTGACTTCCTCTTTATATGTTTAAGAGCTATTTTGCTTCCTTTTCTATGAACTCTTTTTCTCTGCCTGGTTTTTGTTCTTGGTTTTTGTTTTTGTGTTGCTAGGAATCAAACTCAGAGCTTTGCATATGCTAGGCAAGTGCTGTTTTTAAATTGGATGGTTGATTGGTTCCTCTCCCAGTCATTTCTAGGAGATTTTTATGTATTTGTGATATGAATCAAGTCCTTGGAGTTTGTTATTTTCTCTGGCTTTGTCTGTTGTGTGCTTTACTGTATATAAGTTATTTGAGTTCTACAGTCAAGTTTATAGAATGACCTTCTGCACTTAATGTTTATAAAGCACTTAGCCTATATTTTCTTCTAGTATTTTTGTTTTCTTCTCTCTGTCTCTCTCAGATGCATTGGATTCACATTTTGGCCAGATGTTGAATAGTTGAGTGTTAAAATCAAATGAAGTAGAGGCCCAAATCACCATTATAGGGTGAAAAAACTTCTAGAACACCGAAATTTTATTTTAAAAAAACTTTAATAAAATATAAGATTTTATTATAAAACTTTAGTAGTTATATGTGTTAAATTAGACAATCTGTTGCAAGAACAGCAATTTCTCAGCAGGATCAACTGTTTGGTTGCTTTTATAGTCCTTACATGGTACACCTGTAAAACTACTCAGTTTTTTTGTTTTTTTTTTGGTACCGGGGATTGAACTTGGATCCTTGTGCTTGCAAGGCAGGCAGCGGAACCACTGAGCTAAATCCCCAGCCCTTAAAACTACTCACTTTTTGTTGAGGAAGGGGACCTTGTATAAGGGTGACCTGGAGAGACTCAGGACCATATTGGAAGTTACTAAAAATTAAGTATATTCCTTAAAAGTTATTTTGTTTCATATACAGGGCTAAAATAACTAAAGTTCTATAGAGATTACATTGACTTAATCTGATTCTATGTCCATGTGTTTAACAGATGTATCTTTTTTTGGGGGGTACCAGGGATCGAACTCGTGTCCTTGAGCTTGCAGGGCAGGCGGCAGAACCACTGAGCTAAATCCCCAGCCCCTAGATGTATCTCTTAATATTCATATTTACTAAACTGTTTCCTATGTAACCATTTTAAGTTCTCAGTAACTGAAATTAACAGCTTTCACTGTCATTGTTTGAGCATTTTACTCTTATTATAATAAATATGCTTTTATGCATCATTTGACAAATAAAATTTCAACATATAAAGAGTGATTAATATAAATAATATATATACATATAACATAAATGCATGGAACATATAAAAATAATTTAC